AAATAATTGTGATTAAGATTTAGTTTTTAGGAAGTTTGGGGACTTAGGGCATAATTTGCCCGTGGGTGGTTTTAAACCCATTTCCCCTCCTTTTTCCCTCTTTTCCTGCCGTGTAAACCCCCTAGTAGTTTCTTCTTTTTCCTTTCTCTCAACCTTTTTCCATTAGCATTTTTGGTTTGTGCTTGCTTTTGGTTGATTTTTCGTTGTTCGTGACTCTCACTTCCAGTACCATGTTGTTCATTGTGTTGTTTTTTTCTTCTCGTGGTTTCCGTTTTTCGATAGGCACCAGTGTTAGTTTTGTCGGAGGGGAGAAAGTTTTGAGTTTCTTTAAAATCTTTTTTTCGACATTTAGTTTTTTTGCAAACCGACCTCGATAAGTGGTTCATCGTGCTTTGAAATTATTTTATGTAATTTTCGGTAACTTTCTTATTGTCAGAATGCCTTCAATGCGCCGCCATGCGCGCGTTGGGCTACTCTGGCTGTTTAGAACCGGTTTGTTGTTGGACCGAATCGGTTGAACCGGTCAACCTATTGATCGATCCGACCCGTTGACGACCTGACCGTTGTCAACCTAACCCATCGACTGTTGACTTTGACCGTTGATTGTTAACTTTGACTGTTGACTTTTCAAAAACCCTATATTTTTATTTTTCGATCCCGAGTCTGATTTTACATTTCGTTTTACCAAATTCTGACCCGAAAGCCCTTTTTATTTTTTATGATTTTGCATCGTTTTCCTTTTTAGGTCTTAATTATGTTAAGTAAATTGTGGGTTTTTGAATTCATTTTTGGGTTTTATTTTTTGAAGGTACCCTCACATAATTAGAGCGCTCTCCAGTAGATCTTAATCAATAATGTCCTCCTCAGTTTGATTCTCGAGATACGTGTAAGTATAAGTTGATGATTTTATAACATATTATGTTTAGTGGTTAGCATTCGTATTTATGGTAGAGTACTATTTTAGGTTCCCTATCCGTATGACCTAATACTACTAATCATGGGAAGCGTAAAGTTTAGCTGACATCGATTATCTTCTTTAGGTATGTATTCTTTACCTATCTGATACTCTGAAATGTTGGACTATTATGTTTGATACTATTGTTAAGATATGTTTGTAATTTGGTTGCACTTATCTGTGTCATTCGTATTTCTAAATAATGTTGCATCACTCATGATCTGCTCATTGATGCATTTCTGACATATGCATGGGACAAACGCCCCGTTCTGACATTTGCATGGGACAAACTACTTTACTTTAGAGGACACACTGAGCTTCGTAACTCATTTCTTTTCAGTTTCTCTTCTTAGATTGCTCAGACTTTTAGGTTGTACGATCGGTACTTGGAGGATCGTTAGTAGTTGTTTTCTTTCGTACTTTATATGGACGCTTTCTTTTCAGACTTTTTATTATTTGTTTTCTGATAGTTTATACATAATTGAATATATTTCTTGTTATGGGATTTGGGATAATCAATTACTTTATTGGTTCCGGATTTAGAACTCATAGTATGTTTAAGTGTTATGAACTCCTGAGTTTTAACGGTTATGAATGATAAGACATGAGGGTTTTTTTCTATTCTCTTTCTTGATTTATGTTCAATCAAACGTTGTCGTGATCTCCGAAATTCGATCGTAGCATCCAGATCAGGTTTAGGGGATTACACGAAATTCATTATATGATTACACCAATGATAACAATTATTTTTAAGACAATTATATTTGAATTGGAAGGTTTTTTTTTCAACTAATAAATATTCATTCACGTTGGATGGGACCGCTCCTAAATATTAAATGGGTTGCCCAAACTCCAAAGGCCCGTCCAAGCTAGTAGACCCTTGGACAAGACTCGCACAGGATTTAGCCGAAGAGATGCCTTAGCAATCCATTATTAATTTATAAGTGTAAAAATAATTAAAACTAAATCAACATAAAATAAAGCATAAATATAATAATATCTATGCAGTTTGATCTTATTTATCTTTATTTATGAAAGAATAAAAAATCACTATATATATTTAGAGAATAAAGTGTTCAAATACATATAATTCTTTAAATTTTAAAAATCCAGTGTATTATCAAAGTTCATATAACGTTATACTCCATATGTCCCATTATATTCACCCACTGTTAAATTTTTATCAATTTTTTAATTTTAACTCATTATTATTTAAAATTTATTATTAATAAAAATAAATATATATATATATATTATTTAAAATATTTAAATAATCATAATTAAAAATTAATATTTTTTGTTTTTTAAAAATCAATAATAGACACATTTAATAAGACGGAATGAATATAAAATTTCATCTCTCAAACGGAGATGAGATTTATCTCTCCAACAATTCTATCTTCGTGATTTTAAAAACTAAAATCTATACTATATTTATAAAGTTAAATACTTGATATATTAATGGAATCAACAGATGCGAGATGCAGTGGTAAGAAACATACATTATGAAGGAGCGATCTAAATCTCAAACCTTAAAAACAACATTATTAGAATAAACAATCATAAATTTCAATCTTAGATCACAAAATAGACATCAAAGATATCAACAGAGGTCGATTATAGTAGTAAATGACTTGATATCACTTAAGTAAAGTCTCAAGTGAGAGTCCTTATGTATGCATAAAATCCCTGCAGGGAGATTTATCCACCAAAACTAGGTATACGACACGGGTCAATCCGAATTAATCAAGGCGAAGCCTTGGAATCGGGAGGGCAACCAAAAAAATATAGACATCAAGGATTCTAATATTATAGTTATGTAAATTATACATTTAATACATAAACTATCAATTTTGGGTACTAAAATGAAGCAAACACTAAACGTTAAGTATGATTTAGGTACTAAAACGGGCCAAGACTTATAGTTTAAGTACTAAATGTGTAATTTATCCTATAGTTTTATATCAAGTACACATGTACAAATGATTCCATTCTCATAATGGGAAAACAATAATAAGTTCAAAAAGTTCCATGTGAGATCCACAAGTTCAAGAAGCACCATGTGGGATTCACATGTTCAACATCAAATCCGGGTTTGATTCAGGCAACACAATGTCATGCGTAGTGCATTCTTTGCTCTTGTGCTGGAATTAGAATGCAATAATGGGGGCAATCCATTCTCACTTTCTTCCAAAAATAGCAATTACACATGTATCTACTCTGTTCTTTTTCTTTTAACTTCACTCATGTTCTAAGCAATTATAAAACTTCTAAATAAACAGTTTGATTTAAATTACTACGCAAATGACTTATTACAACCATGATCAACAAGACAAACTGTTGGTTATGTTATTCGGACCGGGATACGAGTACTAAATATGAACACATCCGACATAAGTATACTCATTTTTCAGGTTATTTTTATATATTTGAAAGATCGTATTCTCATACTCATATTCCCTAACATGTACTGGGTATAAGTATCAGACACGACTACTTATATCCGATACATGTTAGCTATTTGAGTTAACATGTCTGTGCTTAAAATATCATTTCTGAAGACACTTTATCAGCAATGTTAGCTGTCATCAGACATACCTGTGATATAAGTAAATCAGCCCTGCACTTTCACTGTTAGGGAACAACAGAATATAATCATTCAACACAATGGATCATGACAAAGATGCACTCACATCCAAATTTGGGGGGGGGGACTAAGGTTTCATGTTTAAGGCATTTTGGGGTGGCTCTTGTCTCGATGCAAATGAGATCTTCCTCCTCGGCTCACTCTAACATCTCAGAATCTTAGATGCTTTTGGGGTATACCGATGTACCGAAGTGGACGACCCTGTCTAAGTAGCAACTTTCTTAATCCAAAAATATACATGCAAAAGCAAGAAAGCATCTCAGTTGCAAGCTTCCACTGCTAGAAAGACTTCCTTCTCATTCCCTCGTCCAGTGCAAATTCAATATCAGAATCACCAACCATAGGAATAAAAAACGACTACAATGAATTCATTGCATGGTGAAGTCGAGGTTTTCCATTTTATGGAAGCTGCAATATGTAGAGATGTATTAACAGGATCATTCACAATGAGACAGAGAAATACAGATTATAAAGTGAAACTTGCCTCTGTCCTACATCATATGAGATGTACAGATGTATTAGCATGATCGTTCACAATAAGAAAAGCATAGAAATACAAATTATACGGTGAAACTTGCCTCTGCTATGTCCCATATGAGATGTAGATGTTCCCGTTTTATTCAGGTCTAAAATTAAAATGAATAAAGGAACACGGTATTAAGTAAATTTCATTAACAAAAATCTAAGCAAATGCATGATTATGGTTTATCATCTTCCAACAGTTGAGCAATGTTGCAGATTTCACCAAGATTCAACTGAAAGCACCACTGAAGCCAATAATTGCAGTTCCTAGCATATAAGATTATCTGAGATATTTTAACTGGAAAAAAACCATGTTGGCATCAGTACAGTAGAGGGGTACCTTTTCAAGGTAGATACCTGTAAGTATGTCCAACCATAAAGTTCCAGTCCTTGTAATGGTGGCAGCACCCTATAACAAAATACACGTCATAAAGTAATCATACATGTAGAGTGAGGAGAACGTGTATACCCATATAAATATGTTTGCATGCTTATCGATAAACAATATACCACCATCTGATATAGTATAGACATGAGAAACTCATCAACATTGAAGAATTAATAATAGTTGATGATCAATGGCAATGCCGATCTTGCATACGTTCAAGTAGCCACGAACCTAAAACAATGCATTTAATGCAGGACAGAGATGACACACATGGAGTCGAGTGTCTATGAATCACTCAGTTTTCCAATTTGATTTGATATTGATATAGTGCAGCCAACCAAAATCTGTATTTTTCTACTTGTTTCTCTCCACTCAATATCTCACAGCCTTCTAGCAATCACTAGCTCATTAATAATTACAAGTAATGATGCAAAGCTGGTATTCCAAAAGAATCTGACATCAATCAAGCTCTTCAAAGCAAGAACAAAATGAAGGTAACTCTCCAATTTATTAGATTCTTACAGTTGTTATTGCAGAACTAGGATGGATGCAGCATAAGTTACGACAAAGTAATATTGAGACTTTCAAGGATTTCACAACTGGTATTCCAACTTCTTTCATTCACAAAACAATCCCCAAGACATGAAAATCATCATTAGATTGGATCGGCACAGCTGAGTACAATAATCTGTACAATTGCTCAGCATGAATTAAAGCATTAGTCATTAGGTTCCCTTGAAGTGAACTCATGCTAGTTATAGTTTAAAACATTTAGATTATAGACCTAAAGCAGAGGCTAAATATAGGCTCCTTGGACTACAGTCAAAACTTGGTGGCCACAGCCATAAGTCTGAGGGTCAGAACTCAGAATCATTCTGCCTTAATATTTTCGAATGCAGTAGCCACCAATATTCATGGTATCAGGCTATCTTATCTCTCCGCATCGTACGAGGGTTAAACTATGTTGGTTGATATAAGGGCTTAAAATGAATATTTATGTTCTGCATCAGCACAAAATGGATTCCTTTTTTTGCAACTGTATCTGATTTCCTATTCCTTAAACTCTTGACTTCAGGGACCTACTGCTCGTCTTTCAGCTTATTCATCCCTCAATGGTCAAGAATCCCATCCGAATTCAGCTTCCAGATATGGATACGGAGCAATATACTCAACTCAGCCCAAAGAGGAAAATGAAAACTTCTCTACAGAATTCGAAGCTGAGGGAGTAGAAGACAACTTTGGAGACAAAACATCCACTGTCATCTCCGGGCTATTTCATGGCTTTCTCACCATTGGAACTCTGCAATCTGATTGCACCATCAGTGAGCCTATAACACCAACATTCACCATGTCTCGGGAAAACATTACTGAAGGAAAAACAGAGGGGACAGAAAATGATTTGAAGGTCATCAATGATGAACTGGACAAGTTCCTTGAGGCTGAAGCTGAAGAACATGGGTCCATTGAATCATCACGAAGGAGCAGTTTGGTTAGCGCAATTACACTTAGCGATAAGCCAATGCAAGAAGTCAATGCTGAAGAATATGTGAATGCAATCGTATGTCCACTTCAAGGATATCTGTTTGGATCTTCAATTGAACTTCCAGAAGCAAGATTTGAGGTAAAGAAAGAAAAGGCATCACTTGAAGAACTGTTCTACAGTGCAAAAACTGCCGAAGAGAGTCCTATGGAAAAATGTGGGAAAGAGGAAATGCATACCAAGCAAACCCCTTAAATGTCTCATCAAGAAGATTCTGAAAAAGCTTCATGCTTCTTCAGGTAGTTCTATCTCTTCCACCAAAGAAACTAATTCTGTTTCAACGAAGAAAAAACTCCAAAAGGTGAGTCTTATCTCTTCTGGGCCTGGATTCTCTAACAATTTTATAAGTATTTTAAGGAATAAGGACCTCAAGAATGCAAAATCCAACAGTGGTATCCACCTTATGGAAACACATTCTGTTGCATTGAGATTGCTCCAAAAAAGTCTACAATAGTTAAAGAGTACTAGATGCAGTAGGTATAAAAATCATGCATGCCAACACCATCATTCTCAAGCCTTAGAACCATTCTCTGAACAAGGAGTCAAACACTGGCAAGTCAGATTATTTGAGTCCGAGGGTCTAGAAGTCAACAACATGACCTCTGTGATAATAAAATAATAAAAGAAAAGAAAAAACCAAGTGTCTTACATTTACATGGACAGTCTCTAACTATAATACTTGAATTTTGGATGAATATATGATAAGTCATATGTTACTTGGTCTCGTTGATTGTCAGATACACGTATATATCTGATTCATACATCCCAAGTTTTTTCATATATTAGGATTTAGGAGAATTAGAACTCATGCCAAGGATATGTAATGGGACAAAAAAATGAAGAAGTCAGAGCAACATAAGACAAGTATAAATTTCCATTTATTTTTATATCCTAGACAACAATAGCCCTAGAATTTCTTTAAGGAAATAAGATTTTTGCAACAAAAAAAAAGTTCAAAGATGTACATTTAACAAGATAGTTCCTCAGATTAATTATTCCAACGAAAGGAATACAGAGTATTACATGGGTTTTAATTTCAGTGTGGCTTGCAGGTCATTAAACTTTTCCACGGGAAAATCTATCCTGAAAGCTCTATATCTGACAGAGAGTTAAAAAACTTGAATAGGAATAAGATGAAAAATGCTCCTTACAGTGGTGGTGACTATACTGATGGAGAGCAAATGCACCGAGATAAAGTGAAGAACTGGTTTTCTCAGGGATCAATGTCCGAAGTAGGAACACACAGTTACAAGCCCATCTCAGTACTGCCCCAGCCTCAATATGGGGTTACTGGCTCTATAACTGCAAGTTCAAATGGGGAGCACTGGATCAAAACAGATGCAGACTGTAAGTATGATGCACCTCCTGAAAATGATATAAACTCCTGGTGCATTTTCCAACTATTCCAGGCATTCATTTAGTTGCCATTGCATGGTCAGAAATATATTCTTAAATCCATATATTATCGTGATGTCAACATATATACAGTTTCAATATAGACTGTATTGAGCTTTGCGATCAAGTAATTGAGTAACTAGTTTTTTCTAACATATGTCTGCCCATCTTCTGCTGCTGCTATTGTAGACTTGGTGTTGGAGCTGTAATGAAGGAATGGCAACAAATGCTTACCAATAGCTTTCAGCAATCTTGTGGCTTTACAATTTCAGCTACTTCGTAATGTGTTTGAGTGTGTTAACAGTCTCAATAAAAGAAACCTATTAGGAAAAATATGTTTCATCCCTCTGGGTGTTATGATGAAGTTATGCACTTAGTTTTTTGTAGTCTTCTGAAGATGTGTTCATGGTCACTTTTTAAGTCTTGTCTGAATTCTTTCTTGAGAAAATTCTGGTCCGCAGGTAATGCACCTCAAGGAATTGCATCATTGAGATACATCGATACCAGAATCTACTCTGAAAACTTGAAGAAAAAGAGAGATTATAAAACCTCATAGAAAGAAATGTCAACAAACCAGGCAATATTCTATACTAAACCACTAGCTGTTCTTCCCCCAGAAATCCACCCATTTCCATCCTCCAAGATCGATCAACTAAATCTTCTAACTCTCTGAAAATAAACCAAAAAGCTCCATAAGCTGAAAGTATACACACATGCTATCAAAAGAGAATCATAAACAACAAAATTTGATTTATTGCATCTTGGATCTCATCACTAAGATCATACAAGGGGTTCATGTACAACATATGTCAGCTTGGTTTGGTTAAGTTATACAAGCCATTTATTTGAAAGAGACCTGTTAAAGGACAGCCGACAGCATTGAAATCGAATGAATCGATTGAGGTTTATGCAGTTCTTTTTTACCCAATTAAGACAACCTACGCTATATATTGTACAATTAATATAGCATTTCAATGGAAATAAACTAGAATGGTAAATCAGAAGCTAAGGCTTACTTGAGATCATGACTGACAACAACTACAGTTAATTCTTTCTTCAGATGCTTCAAAAGTTTCACAACATCTGCATTTGCCTTCCAATCTGGTTTTGCTGAAGCATAATAGAATTTAGAAGGTAGAAAAATCTGAAAATGAACTATTTATAGATCATGCCAAAGTTAAATCAATTAGCAAAATTGTTGGTGCTTCTGAACTTCATAAGTCATGTTCTATCCAGGAACTCTAGTTTCTAAACTACATCATGAACATAAGATAACAGAAATGTAAGGACAAACAGAATAGAAAAAAGCAATGTCATACCGATACAATTTATTATTATTATCAATTAGCTAAGGATTTTTTTAATCATCGTTATCTGATTTATTATCAGCATTTTAATTAATATAGGATAAGTACATAACAATATTATTCAAAGTTAACTATCAATATTTCGATATTAAACATTCACATCCTTGACATCTATGGTGCTTAAACTCGAGTCCTCAAGAAATAACAACAATTCATTTACCACGAAGGTCACTTGGTTCGTTCTTAATAACTTATTTTAAATAAAATATTATAGGTGTCATTCTTTTAGGGATTAAAATCCATTTATACAATATAAAAAAATTTTAAAACAAATTTAAGATTTTTTTATGAATGAAAATAGACGACTGAGATTAATTTTTTATTTTTTCGTGATTATCTTTTCATTTTCTATTGTTAATCACATTCATTTTATTTTTATGTATCAAACTACCTTAATAACAAAATTTAAAATATTTTATTTTATTTAAAATATTAATATATCATTTTACTAAATTAACTTATCGTTGATTATAAATAATTTTAAAATCCATTTACATATAGATTCTATTTTTGCTAAATCACCGCACAGTCAAAGTTATCAAGTTACAAATAATTTAAATTGAATTATGAATTTGGAACTTAATCTTGTTAATTTTATATAGTTGTCCGTTAAAAACAACATTTACTTATATTTTTAGATTTAAATTTTAATTATTATATTTTCTCTTGTTCGTATAGTATGATATTCTTTGATATTAAATTTTAATATTAATATCATTTCCATCATTCTTGTAGTATGTTATTCTTTTATATTAAAAAATCATATAATTTTACAAATTTTAGTCGGTTTATATGTATTATTTTTATTTAAAATAATATTCGATGGTCAACAGTTTTTTTAATTGATAATTAAGTTAGATTATTATCATATTATGCACTGAATCATATTTTAATTGACAATTAAGTTAGATTTTAATGTAATTATATCGGTCGAAAATCATTTGATGATTAAGTTTATTTAATTATTAAAAATAAAACTTTTTCATAATCAATTATTTCACGCTATAAATATATAATATATCTTAATAAAATTTTGGTAATATATCATGTTTATCAGTGGCAGATCCATAAATATTTTTTAGGGTGGACACACATATATATATTAGTTACATAAAATTTTGATAAAGGGTGGATACAACTAAAATTCAGGGTTGAAACACTCTTTACTGCTCTAGTAACAAATAAATCTCATCTCATATTTATAGATTTTAGTGTTCATTGATTGTTATGTCAAAATTTTAGCTATCAATCTTATAAATCTTAAGAATCTTTTATAGATAATTCTATATGTAATATCAATTATTACAAATATATAGATTATTTTATAAATATTTTTAGATATATATTATTTTAGAATATTCTCAAGATATATCTCGTAAATGATAATTATATATTTATATAGTGACTTCCCAATATTGGTTTTTTTAATGATCAAAAAAGAAAATATTTTATTTTAAAATAAATAAATAAATTTGTACAAATTACTTTTAATTTGATACTATTAATTCTTCTCCATCGTTGCCTGCAACCACACACCGATAAAGCTTTTGTTTTCGTAATCGTTAGATATTAGATATGACTTGACAGTATATCTTGGTATAGTCCCTCTATCTTAGCTTGATTTACTTCTTTTGCTTCCTCATCGGATGAGACAACAATGTCGACCATGTAATATATTCAGAACTGGCTCAAGATGCCTCGTACAAAACAAGTTGTCTATAACGGGAAGTTTTGTTGTGAGACACCTAAAAAGGTTAATAAACGACGTGACCGGTAAAAATAGGTAATAGGTTAAAAGCGGAGCATAAAATGTTATAAATTAGAACCGAAAAAGTTATCAGTCGAAGTAACATAACAGGTTGCACTAAAATGTTATACAAGATAAGAAAATGAGTTATAATCGGTAAATGTTATAAATACCATTAACATTTTAGGTTTCACCAAGAATGTTATGGTTCACTAAGAAGTAGATTGCGATCTATAATTTTCATATTTTTTATTAATTATTCAAAAGTATTTATAGATTTTAATCCTTTGATTGATTCAAATATATTATTTTAATTTTTTAAATATATTTATTAATTAATGTTATGAAATTTAGATTTGATTATATGTTGATTTAGTAGTTGTAAATTTTAATTCGATTTAGTATGCATAAAAAATTATTTAATATATATATATATATATATTATTTTGATATTATGTTTGATATTTATAAATTTATGTTTAGTATATATTAATTAATTCAAATATAATATTTTGATTTTTGGAAAGTTGCTTACCATCATTTCGTCCATGTGGGCTCAGATAATCTTTGTTCACTCATTATCGTGAAGTTGCTTGCCGTACGAATTCATGATCGGAGATGTTCGCCATCACCGAAAAGTCTCAACCGAAAAATCTTAATAAAGGTTTGACATTTCCTTTAAATTTCCTCTATTTATTTTAATTTCTTCTGTTAGTTATTCTCTATTTTTTTGCAGGTATATAGACTATTTTTCGCATATATTTAGGCTGTGTTACAATTTTTTTTACATATTATAGTCTTAACAAGTTATTAGATTTTTTCTAGATTAATCCCGCTGAAATCTAGGAATAGATAATGATTTTGTCATTTTCCAGTATTGGGTGCAAAGTAAATTAAGAGGGGATTGGGGGGTTGGGTTGACCGATTACCGATTGCTATTGAGGTTAAGGGTATTAAATGGATTGTATATTAAATTTGGGTTGCATATTGGATTTGAGTTTTAACTAGATATATTTTTTGTTTTATTTTGATTCGAGCTTGATGTATAAATTTTTAAACCCAAACAAAATAATGTTTATAATAGACATTTTCAATTATCTTTTGAGCATAAATAAATCCAGTGGGCACAAAAAAATTAGGACATAAACAAATTAATTTTAAGGTGAACACATATATAAAAAGTGAATACTTAATAAAATAATTTTAAATTTCATAATATTCTATTTAATAAATTAATTTTAAATTCCAGGATGAACACGTGTCCATATATCTCTGCCACTAATGTTTATGAAACATACCGAAATTTCACTTATACTATTTGTAATCTACGTTGTATATTTATTTTTTTCTTCTCCCATCCATATTGATAAACATGATCGAACCACATTATAGTTTTATAGTTGGGGGACTCAATTACAAATTTACCCTATTATTATGAGGACTATTTGCTTATTGTACCTATCTATCTATTTGATGGTAAAGGCATTGTTTATTAATCCATCAAAAAGAAAAGAAAAAGAAATGCTCACCTTCACGCTAGCACTTGTTTTTTCCTTTTATTTGTGTACCTTAACATTGAATCATTTATATACCTTACCACCCTTTAAACTCAAACCCTACCTTTCTCACCAAGTTTAGTATCATATCCCTCTCCTTCATTATTCCCTACATCATATAATGTACTCTAACCACTTATTTTTCCACTCTGTATTGGAAGGACCGAAACTCTCTTGCTAAAAAGAAGTCTTCAAACCCTTTGCTTCGAGTGCAGATTCGAGAAAAAGAGGTGAAAAAGAAAGAAAGAGAGCAATCATGAGTGCGGATTGGGGACCGGTCATCATCGCGGTAGGCTTGTTCATCCTCTTGTCGCCGGGGTTGCTCTTCCAGCTGCCTTCGAGGACTCGAGTGATAGAGTTCGGAAACATGTGCACAAGTGGGATAGCCATCCTAATCCACGCCGTGATATACTTCTGCATAATCACCATCTTGATCATTGCCATTGGTATTCACATACATATCGAGTGAGTACACATAGAAATGCATCCCATGTGTTATACATTGTTTCTTGTAACTATCACCTACGGGCTTTTTCATCTCTAGCAATATTCTCGTTCGTCGGTATAGTTTTTTACCAAAGGAAATTTCATTGGAAGTAGTAATTTCTCTAGACACAATGTATTATTAGCCACTAGAGTATTCTGAAGCTTATTTCCTAACAGTGACCTTAAATTTGTATGAAATTTATTAAGGCGTAATAAGACCTTTGATGATTTTTACATTTTCTACAACTTTTGTTTGCTATAATTGAAACCTCCATATATATATAGAACCAATACCAATTTGACATAACATGTAAATATGAGAATAAATGTTTTAGAATTAGGACTAAATTAAAATAACTTGAAAGCATAGAGGACTAAATTGAAATATTGCTAGTCCATTTTCACCAGTTTTATTTCTTTTAGTTTTGATCAACGGCTCGCATTATCTCATTTACTCCCGTATCTTATTTAACGGCTCCTATTCATTTACCTTAAGTTGTCTTTCTTAGAATTCTCCCCTTATAATAAATCCACGGATCTTAAAAATTCATTAGGGGGCGTTTGGTTCAGGGTATCTCACATTACGGGGGGAATGGAATGTCATTTTCCCGTTTGGATTGCAAACATTCCTAACCTCCGGTAATAAGTTATTCCCAACAGTAATATTTTGGGGGTATATTATCGGGAATGTGATTCCCCCTTCCCTTAGGTATTGTTATATTCCCGGTGTTTTGAGCTAAAATGCCCTCAATTTTTTTTCCAAAAATATCATTCTTCTGTTGTTGAATAAAAAAAATTCTACGAAGATTAAATTACAAATTTATCCTTAAACTATTTTAGATTTACAAAAAATCCATAATTAGAATTTTATATGAAGTTTGGGGATTAAAATAAAATTTTATCCTTTCATTAAATCTATTTATCTTTTCAATTTTGTAAAACAATTATATAAATTTTATGAATTTAAAATTTTTAAAGAAAATATATAAATTAATTATAGTAAAATTATAGTAGAATTTAACTTGTTAAAAAACAAATATATAATAAGGACAATTTGGTAAAATATACATTCCAATAATTTTTTATTATTTTCCTGCTAAACGAACCAAACACAACAATACAACATTCTCATTAATCTTATTCTCGCCTGTAATCTTACATTCCGTGAACCAAACGCACCCTAAGTTTCTTCCAAAGACCAAAGCAAAACCAGAAAGGGGTGGAGATATGGACACAATTGATTCGGTTTTCGATCCGCTAAGAGAATTCGCTAAGGATAGTGTTCGTCTTGTCAAGAAATGTCACAAGCCTGATCAAAAAGGTTACTCGTTTCTCCTTTCTATTATTAGGTTTTGTTGATCGATCTGAATTCTGATTGAAAGATTTTTTTTGTTTTGTTTCATAGTTTACAAAGGTGGCGTTTCATACAGTTATCGGATTCGTGGTTATGGGATTTGTAGGTTTTTTCATTAAGCTCATCTTCATCCCCATTAACAACATTATTGTTGGATCTGGTTAGGTGCGGTTCGATTCCTTCCATTTCTATTTTGTTTTTCATGTTACTTTGTTGGTTTGTTGTATTTTTAAATGTTATTGCTTTGGTGTTGATCTTAATTTATTCGAATTAAAATAAATAAAGCACGGAGAACCAAAAATCTCTTGAATTTTTGAAAAATTGGTTGTTGATTACTCTAGGGAAATGGAATTTGCCTGAAAATTGTAGGTTTATTTTACTGTTGGGGAGACCTGGAAAACTAAATTTGTTTTCTTGATTAGATGTATTATTATTTATAAATCCTTGTTTGGCATCTCATCTAGTGTGCTTAAACTATTCTTTATATGGTGATATTTGTCTACCTTGGAGGTATAGTGAACTCAATGGATCGATGCAATTGTTTCTTTTAATAAGCAGCTTGCAGCAAAATGGCTGTAAGAACCAATTTTGCAATCACTAACGAGCAAATGATTCAAACTTTCATTTTAGGCAAGATAATGAAAAAGGCTGAATAGAGTAGAAGATAAGCTGCTTCTTGTATATTTGTTGGACTTTGGTATTTGTCGGACAAAATAAAAATAGAAAACAAAAACAGAAAATATTTTTTTGAACCAAACGGGCTCTAAAGATTTCGATATCGATAGTGATCTTTTTTTTTTCCCGAATCACACATTGACATATCGATAAAAATTTCTTAAAAAATTTAAAACTTAAAAATGCATAATACGAATCTAAGAAAAATCGGATATAAATTTAATTTTAAAGTAAAAATATAAAGAACATAAAATGCAAATATAATTTCAATTAAATATATATATTGAAACTATCTGTCGGGTACCTGGTTATAAAAAAATTTCGGCCGAGACCTAGAAAAATTACGGGTCAAGTACTCAACCCGCTCAGGAATTTTTTTTAGAGAATTATCCGATTTTTTTAAGTTCGAATTGACGTGTCGACAGACCGAATCAATGAGGTCGAGTGTTTTTTAACACCTCTACTAATATGTGATGCAGGGGGATCCGAGACAGATGATGCTGAGCTGTCAGATTGCACCTTGATGGCGCTGAGATACCATGAGTTGGCAGATCAACGCAAAAGGCGGGAGTTGATTGTGATATGTTCCTCATTGAGGTCGTTTTGAGTGCGTTTCAGTCTTTTGACCATAACTTTGGCTACGGTGTCGGAATCGCGCATAAGACCCTAATTCAAAAAGCCCCTTTCGATGCGCACACTGTCCACATCGTGCATGGCTCCATGTGACCTTTTTTCGACCTCAAATTCTGTTGTTTTCCCCTCCGAATCACTAGTTTTATTTATTTTTTACTATTTATGGTAATATTTCGCTTGTCAATTAGGAAGTCATTTTAAATCCGATTTTGGCCGGATTTTTTGGAGATTGCATATTTTATTTTGAATTTTAATTTAGAGTGATTTCTGAGATTTTGCTATTTTTGGCTAAATTCGGATAAACACTATTTTTGGCTATAACAGTCCGGCTTGTGGACTGATTTTCGCATTGTTCGATTTTATAATATTATGTTAAACCCTAGAAACTCTTTTCCCTAGTTTTGGACGAATTTTCTCCTGTGAATCATCTGTTGGAACTAGCCTGCAGGATAATCGATGTCCTGTCCGGCGTCAATATGCTTGCAAACAAGTCACTTGTGTACCATTCCATAATATTGAGGGTAGAAACCTTTGAAGTAAATCTTTTAAGGAAAATCATAGTTGATTTACCATTTCTAGTATTTACCTTTTTTATATTGACAAATTGTTGACACAAATCTTCACACATGTAGAGAGAGGGGTCCCTAAGGCTATAACCAGATTATTGAATATAGAAGAGTTGCGCGGTGTCAACATCAGGGTTTCTTCTTCTTCTGATCTCATACTTTTTGTGAGGCTTAATCAATCCCCTTTTGTGTAATTGATTTCTTGTACCTTTGTATTTGAGGTTGTACATTTTCTTTGGATACTTGATTCAAGTTTCAAGATGAAGGAAAACATGTATCGCCCTAATTTTTGTTTTTTCTGTTGAAACTAATGTGAAATTCAATGGCAATGAAAATATAACTGTTGAATTTTTTGGAACATGAGATTACTGCCTCAACTGGATAGATATCAATTACTAAAGAGATGTGGGGCTCTATCAAAGAAATGTTTTTAAATGATAGTAACAATTCTTGAATTCCACGTCTTATAGACTTCTCTTTCAATACATTTTGTTGATGATCTTAATGATTATAAGCAAAAAGTAGACTTTTTTTTTTACCAACATTCTATCGGTAACATTGTTTCCTTTAATTGCTTTGATTCTATTTTTCGACGTTTAATTTTATCATTATTATCAATATCTATTCGTAAGAATTTTTAAAGATAGTTCAAAACCTTCTGTAGATGAGGAAATGTCAACTCTTCTCAACAGACACACATGGGACTTTCTGCATTTACTTGAAGGAACTTCACTTGTTCCATGTGTCACGTGGCTAGAGTTTTAACTAGCCGATCGTGCGGCCTCATGGCTAGAGTTTTGACTAGTCGATCGTACAACCTTAGATGCTTTCAGGCAAGAATTGACGCCAAAGGCTTTGTGGGAACACTGTTGGGACTAATTTAACCACGAAGAATGAAGAATAACGGTTTAGGGACAAAAGAGATTCAAAGCTTTGAAAAGGCTAAATAAGAAAGAGAACAAAACTAAGAAAAGCCAAGTAAAAGAAATAAAGGGACAAAGACAACAAGAGAGAAAAGCTTAAAGTAAATGTTGAGTTGTATCACTCTTAAGAAAATGAAAGAATTGAATGTTGTGTTTACAAATGAGGAGGTAAAACTCTTTTTATAGTTGAGATCCATCATATCTAACAATCTAGATCGAATTACATTAACGGATCAAATTGAATTGAAATCATACATAATATTTTCAAACTCAAATCAAACATTGTCTCCTTAATTTAAGTAATTAAATTTCTAAATTAAGAGATAATTCATCCTTCTAGAAACTTCTGGAATCTTCCAAGAAATAAGCCAGGTCTGATGGTCTTAAGCAAACCTGATACTCCATATGACTTTTCTACGGACATCCACGCAAATGTCTAGGTCCGAACTTCACGAGACTTGACACATCCCCACCAAACTTTGTAACACCCTTCACCACTTCTCTCGAATGCCTTCAAAATTATTTCTTCTCGAAATTATCATTCTTCTGTTGAAAGTATTGTTAAAATGGTTTTCAAAGTTTAGTAAATATTTCTTTGAAAATGGTTTTCAAAGTTTGGTAAATGTTTCTTTGAAAGATAGTTTTTCAAAGTTTGGTAGATGTTTGTTGAAAAATGATAATGGGATAATCACAATTAATCTCTAGGCTTTAGGGTATTTACAAGATTAAGTCCTTAGTTTCAACTATAAATACTCTAGCTCATTTAGCTTCAAAATCATCCCAAAAATCATTTCTTTCTCCCAATACTAGAGAGCTTTCTTGTGAGTAGTGA